TTCAGTCTCTCTTCATCAGACACAGCAAACCAATAGTAAGACACATTAGACACACTGACAGTGCAGGTCACGATACAAAGGACAGTAAAACAGAAAATGCATTTCATTTTCAAAGTCCTTTAAGTCGCATAGACACATGCGCTCCTCCTCTGGGACTGAGTGGAAGTGTCCCGTCTCCAAGGCCAGAGGCAGAGTCCCACACCTCAGCAGGGCACATACTGACCTCTGACCTCTGCTCAGTTTCAGGGTGACATACAACTCAGGTCCAAAACAGTTTTTAATTAAGATATATGTTCTTAATTTTGGTTTACATAAAATGTCATTGTGCCACTTTTGTTTATACTTATCAAAGTAGATGTTCCTTGTTTGTCTGACACTACAGATTAACTTATTTCTGTAAATAAACTTGAGATACGATTTGTGTAACAGACTCCAATTAAATACATGTTTGGTTAATCATGTGTCTGGCATGTTAACCAACTTATTCCATAACCGCCCCAAATCACAAATGTGTCTCACTTCACATGGTTCCCAGTCCATAGCTTTACACAAAGCAAGTTTAGGTGCCTTTTTGTGTACCTCAGAGCTCTACACTGAACTTTCTCTCTGTGGGTCTGTTTACAGTAACCCCAGACTCCAGCGCCATAGTCCAGAAAAAGGACAGACACAGGCCCTGTACAGTTCAGTGTACGTTTGTAGCCCAGGTCACGACATGCTTTAACTTATGCATGTAGTTTATTTATTTTTTTATACGGACAGGTGTTGAAAACTTGTACTTGTGCGAAAACACTCAAAGCAATCCAGCTGGCTTGTCTAATGTGATTGTGACGTCCTTAATAAACATAAATACATTTAAAAAATAAAATAAATACAGTTGGAAAATATCCCGCTGCAGTCTTTGCGATCGGAGATTTTAAGTCTCATAAGACTCTAGTGATGTGTTGACACGAACGATCCAGCTCTTAGAACCGGCTCTTTGAAGTGAACGATGGGAGCCGAGTGAGGTTTTTTAGAGTGCCTTTGTAGTGTTTTTTCCTCTTGATTTTTTTGTGTGAAAACCATATGTGACTGGTCAGTGTGGCGGCATCTGTGTGTCCACTGAGCAGAAGAGGGGAGGGGTTATACACACACACACAGCGGTGAACACACACACGACGAGAGACAGAGGGAGAGCGAGCGAGCGGGACAGAGAGAGAAAGAAATAGAGAGAGAGAGATGAACAGCAGCGGGAAATGCAATAATATCTGGACACATTTCAGTTCAAATGCACAGTGTAGATTGTGCAAGGTGAAAATATCAACAAATAAATTAATTAAAAGTTTGTCTAACTGAGATACCTTTTATACCTTTTTATATGTTCTAATTTAGAATAGAACTGAATAAAATAGAAAGCCTTAATTGTCATTATACAGTATCATGAGATACAAAGCTGCTCCTTCAAAGTGCAAAAAAAAAAACTAGTGATGGGTGTGTTCAGAAAATAAAGCCATATAAGAATAAACATTTGATGTCATGTATGTTTTTTTTAATGTTAGTAATTTATTTTACACACAGTTTTGCTTTATTTTTGGTGATAAATTAATTTAAAAAGCAGAAAAATTAGAGGAACCATTTGGGAGCCGAAAGAGCCAAAATTCCCATCACTGTAAAGTTCTCGTGTCTGAGGTGTGCGCCTTATGTTTAACGAGAAAATAGTTTAAGACTCACAAAATCCTGTAGTGTTTAATGGCCTTAAGGGTGTTCTTGCTGTGAGCATGTCTACAAATGTCCACAGATCTGACCTGTAACTTCACCTCGTGCTTACTTATGTGGGTGCCGGGTTCACACACTGAGCAGCTTTTGAAACGTTTTACTTTTTTAGCTCAGTTTTTAACATCATGGGATTTAACCAACTGAGAAGTGCAGGAGATGCAGTCTAAAGAATACACGTACAAATGAACATATAGATAGATAGATACTGAATATATATTAAAAAAAAAACAAGATGTATTTCAGAAGTCACTTGACTAAACACATTCATAACTGTCAGGGTAAACATCATTGTCTAATATGAAGGAGTGGTCATAAGGCAAATTCTGGATTAATTAAAATTAAAACAATTAAAATTAAATTTAAACAACATTTGTAAATAAATCCGTAATGTTTTAGATCTTCAGTGCATTTTTGAGTTTAATGATTGAGCTCTACTGCCATCTCCTGGAGTAAAATCTGCATTACAACACCTGTTATTAACAATGCAGTTGATCAATTATTTACATACATTTATAGGTATTATAATTTGTATAATTACTTACATCACATCAGAAATACTCTCCTATCAATCCTATCCTAACCAGTCAGTCATTAATAACTTTATTTATCCCTGAGGGGCAACTGGCTCTATTCATGCTTATGTCACAGACCAGGAAGGCATATGGAAAGATGTGATTACAACTTCCTGCGGGCTAGGAAAATGAGAAAATGTCCCAGGTTTCTTCGTCTATATGTCATTGTAGTGTTCCATTATGTTTGGCTAATCAACAATCACAACCACACCTCAGTTTTCATCATCATTTCTCCACTGACGTACAACTCCGAGCGCACTGGGCACATGCGATTAGAAAAGATGAGGCGCCAAATTCCAAACCAAACTGTACAATGTCCAGGTCTGGACTAAAAGCTGCTCCACAAAAAGTGCATCACACTCTGGACATTAACAGGTCATATTTTCACCGTCAGTGGTAACATGACTGGGGACAGGTGCTTCATGTTTCAGGACATAAAATCATGTCTGTTAGTTGTATCTCCAATGCTTCTGTTGGCTCTGTTTTATCATTAGCACGCCATCTAGTGGCACCAGTGGGAATGAACCATGAAACAAGCAGCCATTTAGTAACATAACCTGCATGATAATACACTGTGTAAGGCAAAAATCCTAAGAGCAGTGCTGCTGAAGGAGCCACACTTCCTTGTCAAAGCCTGATCTCGTCTCATCTCAGCAGCTCAGCAGGGCAGGACTTGGTTAGTACTTTTTTTTTTTTTTTTTTTTTTTTTTCGGGAGATGGGAAAGCTCTGGGAAAACAGGAGCCACAATGCAGCAGCTGTAGTGCAAAATGATGTTGTGTCCTTAGGCAAGAACTTTACCAGCATTTTCTAGTATGAATGTGGAGTGTAGACTGAAGGAATAAGTTAGGAATTTGTAAAAGGACTTGAAGTGTCTGGGAAAACACTAAAGTCTAATGCATTATTACTATTAAAGTAGAAAACACATAATGTTATTTATTGATGGAGGCAGATTTCCCTCCTGTGCTCCATGATGCATTTATTTATGGAAAAATGCATAATTTATTTCGTTTATTTCAGCCAAACACTACACAAATTCCATAACTCTCTATTTGTTTGTTTGCTTCATAAGCGTTCAATAGTTGTTTTTCATAAGAGCGTGGTGTGTGTGTTTTTGAATGCAAACCCATTTCACTCTGCCTTGTTCCTCCCACGCTGAGCTCAAAGACTTTCATATGAAGAACGTTAAAAGCTTTTAGTCATGACTGTGTTTCTCTGGATGAAAACATGGAGGATAGTTTGTGTCAGGGACGGGCCTGGCTCTGCTCTTGCCGTCCGCTCTGATATTAGATCCAGATGTTAATACGAGAACATTCAAGGCTGGAATGTCGTGCATGGGTGTCCAGAGATCAGATAAAGTTATGTTGAGTCGTGTTTTGATACATTTACTTCACACGTGTTGTTTTCATACCCCACGCTGTTACTCAGACTGCAGTAATACTCTTACTTGAGTAAAAGTTTTGTTTCCCTCTGTGAGTGATGGCTGGTTTATGGTTCAGCGTCAGGCTTGGTGCTTCTGTGGAGCTAATCGGGGTCCAGGTGCATTGTGGGAACCCATTTCATTTGCAGCATTCATTTTTTGGACCATAAACGATCCTCTATTTCAGTTGTTTTACGCAGTTTTGGTCAGTCATCCATATTGTTTTTAGGAATCAATCAACCAATCACAGCCGAGGCAGACACACACACACACACACACACTATACACACACATACACACTATACACACACACACACTACACACACATACACACTACACACACACACACACACACACACACACCCCTAACCCTAACATCACATATCTGACAGTTCTTCAGATAAACTATAAACAACAGAACAAGTTGAACAAACTCTCCGTTTCCCTCCAAATCACTAAATCACTTCAATTCTTCATCCTCGTGTCACTTCTGAACAACTCGACCTCGACCTCCAGAGGGAAACGGAGCCACACAAACTCTTCTGCGTCGTTGTGCTCAGACTCAGCATCAGTTCCAGTTAGGGGTGTGCAAAAGTATCGATATATCGTATCGTTTAATGTGATGATACAGTATCGATATCGTGGGCTGCTGTATCGATATATCACCCAGAGTAGTTTTTGGTTTGTTTTACTAAATTATTATGATACAGCTCTACATTTTTGTTGTTTCGATTCTCTCAGAGTTTCAGGAGAGGTCCGACTTTTAAAATATATCAACATTTCATCATTTCTAAATCTAGTTATTGAGTTTTTTTCAATAACTAGATTTAGAAATGATGAAATGTTGATATATTTTAAAATATTTTGAATAGTTTATTTATTTTGTAGTCACAAATATAAAACACATTGTAATACCGGCGCGTCTGAATAGAGACGGCGCTTTTTGTCACAAAGATATTTTACAGAACATTATTCAGCATTATTCATTCACTCTACACCTGCTGATATAAACTGCTGTTGTAGCCACAGCTGCCCTGGGGCACACTGACAGAAGTGCGGCTGCCATGTCAATCGGCGCCATCGGTCCCTCCGAACACCACCATCACTCACACACCACTTTCATACGAGGCAATGTGTGTGAAGTGTCTTGCCTAAGGACACAATGATTGAATTGATTGTGTTTAAGTGTCCTTGACTATCAACTGTTCTGGAGAACAGGAGCAGGTTTTGTGTTGATGGAGGAAACCGGAGGAAACTCATCCAGACACGAGGAGAAACACAAACTCCACACAGAAAGACCCGGGTCACCCGGGGATCCAACCCACAACCTTCTTGCTGTGAGGCACGAGTGCTAAACAAAAATAGAGTAAATAGAGACATGTCATAATACCGGATGGATGTCGTAATACCGGCAGGTCTAACCCAGGTTTAAACCAGGTTTAAACCAGGTCTGAAAACCCGATCTAAACCTGATCTCACCCAGGTCTAAACTGGGGTTTCATCTAGTTTGTCCCGTCTTCCTCCTCCTTCGTCTCCTTTTCCTCTCCTGTCGCGCTCTCGTCCTCGTCTTCGTCTTCTTCATTGTGGAGTTCGTATTTGTCCTTCAGTCTTGTGAGAAGTTGGTTTCTCCTCTGCTCCTCTGCTAACGTCTTCGTGGAGCTCTCCAGCTCGACGTGGGCTTTCTGCAGCTCTTCACACATCTGCTGGATTTGCTCTTGCAGACGTGCTCTCTCCTGTTTGATCTTTTCATGTTCATCAAAGAGAATCTCCATCTCCTCCAACAGTTCTGTGTTCCTCTGTCGTTGTCTCTCTGTCTCTCTACGCTCCTCCGATAACCTGTTCTCCACACTTTTCAGATCTTCGGACATGCGCTTCTTATAAGATTTCAAAATAAATTCCCGAGGGCCTGAGGAACCGACTACTGTCCTCAACGTTTCGAGCTCCTCCTTCAAATTCACCTTCTCTTGGTTGAGCTCGGTGACAGCTTTGAGGAGCTCTGAATGGGAGTCTTTCAGCTGAGCATGTTCTTGACGTTCCTCCTTCAGATCTCGTAGGTGTGGGCAGACTTCACCTTCTGCTTCATCACACCTCATCTGAACTTTCTCCAGCGACTCCAGCTGCAAGCAGATCCTCTTGGTCTGTTCTTCTAAGTGTAAGTTGAGCATGTGCGGAAACATTTGGATCACCTCCTGTAGCTTCTGGTTCGTAACCGAGGACTTTTCGTTTTGGATCGTCTCAAGCAGTTCCTGGTTCTGATTTTGTAAGTTTTGGATTGTCTTGTTTTGTTGCTGGTTCTGATTGTTTAAGTTTCTTGTTTTGATTGTTTAAGTTTCGGATCTCAAGCAGTTCCTGGTTCTGATTTTGTAAGTTTTGGATCCTCTCGTTTTGTTGCTGGTTCTGATTTTGTAAGTTTTGGATCCTCTCGTTTTGTTGCTGGTTCTGATTGTTTAAGTTTCGGATCCTCCTGTACAGTACCTGGTTCTCAGCCTCTAAGATTGGGTGCTTGACCTTAGGTCGGGATTTTCTAAAAAAACACCAGGGCATTTTTTCTGTTTAAATATGCAGTAGAGAGAGAGAAAAGCTCTAGTGTAAACGTGCAGTAGTAGCTCTAGTAGCAGTACACGCAGTAATTGTAGTAGTCGTAGTACACACAGTACACACAGTACACGCAGTAGAAGTGGCAGTATTCTGTGTCTGTAGTGTTTGTTTCGTGTTACACTTATAATCTTCTTCAAAACAGTAAATTGCTTTGTGCTTTGTGCTTTGTGCTTTGTGCTTGTCCTTTACTGATGATGTCATCGTGAGGGTTCTCCCTGCTCCTCCTACCCCTCCTTTCCCTGCTCCCTCTTCTCTTCTCTCACCTTATTTGTTTTTTCCTGGGCGGGCCCCCAAATCATCTCACCTGCTGAGCTCCACTCCTGATCCTCGTCAGTAATCATCTCCGGCAATAAGAGACCTGCTGACCTGCTCTCCAGTGCCAGATCGTTCCGTCAACCAAGTGGTGAACTACTCAGGCTTTTTGTGTTTTTGAGCATTTTGTAGGTTCTTGACTCTTATCTGTTTACTTTTGTCTGTTCCCCAGTTCAACCGTTTTGGAGCCAGCCTCTTCCCGTTACCACCTGTTCCGCAATCCTCTGGTCAGCTTCTTCACCATTGCTCTTCAGCCAACCTGGACCCGTCCTACCTCCCCTGGAATCTATCCCCCTGTCCACGACTATTTTTGTTATTAAATACTTTTGTTACTGCGTATTTGGGTCCGACCAGTGATTCTTTAACAGTCATAAAGCAGAGTTCTATCACCATGGAGATCCAGGGCGGCATTAGAACATCACGTTGCTACGGCGACAGCTTCTCAGGCTCCAAAACTATTTTAGATTCTAGAATGTGATGATGTCATTGTCCCAGAGGGGAGCTAAATCATTTTCCCGGTGATTACGATGTACTTTTCCATCTGTATTAATATTAGATGGAAACCATGGCAACAGAGAGGTGGTCTGCTCTTGTGGAAGCTTTCACATGTTGAACGTTTAATGTTGTTTTTTTATAATTAACAAAACTAGTCGATCTCACCTGGGACAGGAGGGGAGGGGCTTAGATCAGAGAGATCAGGAGTCTAACCCACAACCTCCTGGTGAGAGGGAGGAGACAAGACAACCGCCCGACATCAGAGCTTTTGTGAAAGCAGCGGCTGAAACGTCCCCAACACATTTGCACGACTTCATTGTTTTTGCTGATTCAAGGAAAATTACTCAGAAAAT